AAATGTCTTGACAAAATTTTACACGTCTGCGATCAAGAAAACGCACTTTTATTAAGTTAGAAATATCTTCATTAGACATGTTAACAGTTTACATTTAAAACATTTTTTGCAATTACGTTTTTGTTAGTTACGGCTTTTTGCATTTTAGCTAACGATATGTTGTTAAGCAAGAATATTATTTTAATTTTTGTTAAGCATTACTCTTCTATTGTTTAGTCTATCTATGATTAATGAAAGAAAGAGAGAGAAAGAAGAGAATATACGCCTTTCATAACTCTACATCTTCACAACGCTTCTTCTCTTAACTAAAAGATCCGATACTGAATATCTACATCACTTGCAAAAAAAATTGCAAAAATTTCCTCTTTCATTTATAATGAGAAAACCTTTTCTCTTTAAATTCCATCAACTTACACTCAGTGTTTCTCTCAGTGTAGGGAGATTTTTGCCTTATTTTTTATTATTTATGTTTCGACTACAATATAAAAGAATACCACTTTTTATTCAGTGTAAATAACTCTACAGTTGTCTTGGCTTCTCTCCCTTTCTCCACACGTTAAGTGCCCCGGGTGTATTGCTCTACCCATTAAGGTGATGAAAGTATAAAACATGCGCCGTGTGAAATAACCCGTTCTGGTGCTCTGGAATTTGCATACATTTTGAAAGAGATAGAGAGAGAGAGGAGGGAGTGTATTTTGTATTTTCATACATAATAAAGAGAAAATGCTAGATTAACAACCAACATTGAAAGAGTTACCCAAATGTTTCAAAAAGTGTTACAAAGAACAACCTGGATTCCGAAATGGGCGATTGGAATGAAAGTTTTTTTTTTAAAGATGGAATCTTAAAAAAACCTTAGCACCTATCACACAAGACTATGATTATAGACATGAACGGCGAGAATAATGAGAATTTATTAAGAGAATTCCAAAATAACTTTTCTGTATCGAATATTTTAATTTTTTTTACTCAATGAAATTCATATCAAAAAGAATCAATTGTTAAAAATGATCCATATATGCTTTTTTGTTCACGTTTTATTCATGTCAGAAAATGAAACCATATAAAACCATTCCGAAAATACAAAAAATATTACCATACAGATGGCTGATTGAGTAATTATTACATGGACATTTTTGAAAAATATTCACAAAAAAATTTTTCAAGATAAAACAAAGGAACAAAACTCTATGTTCCGCTTTCGCTTGAATAGGATCAAAATTCGTTTGAAAACGAGCAGATTCTACTCTTGCCGAGCAATATTTTAGTCTTTTTTTCATACTGTTGTTGTACTAACCTCCTCTTCTACCATTTGCCCCATCGTTCACCCTCTGCACATAAATTTTAATATTTGCTTCAGGTTAGGTGGGGAAATGGACAATATCGGTCCACTCTATCAAATACTTTCCCCCAAAGTGTCAAAATTTTGAATAATTATAACTCATATAAAATTTGATGCAAAAGTCCGATTGTCTTCAAATTACACATACCGCAAACCTTTTATTAACCCAAGGTCTGGTGTGAATATATCGGTCCACTTCTTCTGGTACCTCCTCTACAAAGGGTCAAAGTTTTAAATAGCCAAAAATGATCATAAAATTCGGAATAAGCATCCGGTTCTCCTCATATTTTACACATTCCATTATTTCTTCTAAGACAAGATCTGACGTGAAGATGGGATATATTGGTCCACTCCTTCTGGTACCTCGCCCACAAAGGGTTAAAATTTTGAGTACCCCTGAAGCTCATAAATCGCGAAAATTGATATCCGATTCCTTCCAGTCTTTGCAAATCTCAATATTTCCATCAACACAAAATCTGTTATAAAAATGGTAGAGATCGGATCATTCCTTCGGGTACCTCCCCCACAAAGGGTCAAAGTTGTGGATAATCAAAACGATCATAAAATCCGAAATAAGCATCCCGTTCTCTCCAAATTACACACATCACAATATTTTTATTAACCCAAGGTCTTGTGTGACTATGGAATATGTTGGTCCACTCCTTGTGGTACCTCCCCCACATAGGATTAAAATTTTGAATGTCCATGAAGCCCATAAAACGCGAAATTAACATCCGATTCCATTCAGAAATGGCAAGCCTCAACACTTCCATCAACAAAAGGTCTGTTATAAAGATGGTTGAGATCGGATCATTCCTTCGGGTACCTCCCCCACAAAGGGTCAAAGTTGTGGATAATCAAAACGATCATAAAATCCGAAATAAGCATCCCGTTCTCTCCAAATTACACACATCACAATATTTTTATTAACCCAAGGTCTTGTGTGACTATGGAATATGTTGGTCCACTCCTTGTGGTACCTCCCCCACATAGGATTAAAATTTTGAATGTCCATGAAGCCCATAAAACGCGAAATTAACATCCGATTCCATTCAGAAATGGCAAGCCTCAACACTTCCATCAACAAAAGGTCTGTTATAAAGATGGTTGAGATCGGATCATTCCTTCGGGTACCTCCCCCACAAAGGGTCAAAGTTGTGGATAATCAAAACGATCATAAAATCCGAAATAAGCATCCCGTTCTCTCCAAATTACACACATCACAATATTTTTATTAACCCAAGGTCTTGTGTGACTATGGAATATGTTGGTCCACTCCTTGTGGTACCTCCCCCACATAGGATTAAAATTTTGAATGTCCATGAAGCCCATAAAACGCGAAATTAACATCCGATTCCATTCAGAAATGGCAAGCCTCAACACTTCCATCAACAAAAGGTCTGTTATAAAGATGGTTGAGATCGGATCATTCCTTCGGGTACCTCCCCCACAAAGGGTCAAAGTTGTGGATAATCAAAACGATCATAAAATCCGAAATAAGCATCCCGTTCTCTCCAAATTACACACATCACAATATTTTTATTAACCCAAGGTCTTGTGTGACTATGGAATATGTTGGTCCACTCCTTGTGGTACCTCCCCCACATAGGATTAAAATTTTGAATGTCCATGAAGCCCATAAAACGCGAAATTAACATCCGATTCCATTCAGAAATGGCAAGCCTCAACACTTCCATCAACAAAAGGTCTGTTATAAAGATGGTTGAGATCGGACCATTCCTTCGGGTACCTCCCTCACAAAGGGTCAAAGTTTTGAATAACCAAAACGATCATAAAATCCGAAATAAGCATCCCGTTCTCTCCAAATTACACACATCACAATATTTTTATTAACCCAAGGTCTGGTGTGACTATGGAATATATTAGGCCCACTCCTTGTGGTACCTCCCCCACATAGGATTAAAAATTTGAACGTCCATGAAGCTCATAAAACGCGAAATTAACAACCGATTCCATTCAGAAATGGCAAGCCTCAACACTTCCATCAACATAAAATCTGTTATAAAAATGGTAGAGGTCGGATCATTCCTTCGGGTACCTCCTCCACAAAGGGTCAAAGTTTTGAATAACCAAAACGATCATAAAATCTAAAATAAGCATCTGGTTCTCTTCAAATTTCACACATGCCATTATTTTTACTAACACAAGGTATGCTGTGAAGATGGAATATATCGGTCCATCCATTCTGGTACCTCCCCCACAAAGGGTTATATTTTTGAATATCCATGAAGCTCATAAAACGCGAAAATTGACATCCGATTCCTTTCAGACTTTGCAAATCTCAATATTTCCATCAATACAAAATCTGTTATAAAAATGGTAGAGATCGGATCATTCCTTCGGGTACCTCCCTCACAAAATGTCAAAGTTTTGAATAACCGAATCGATTATAAAATCCTAAATAAGCATCTGGTTCTCTTCATATTTCACACATCCCATTATTTCTACTAACACAAGGTATGCTGTGAAGATGGAATATATCGGTCCACTCATTCTGGTACCTCCCCCACAAAGGTTTAACATTTGAATATCCATGAAGCTCATAAAACGCAAAATTAAAATCCGATTCCATTCAGACTTGGCAAATCTCACTATTTCCATCAACACAAGATCTGTTATAAAGATGGTAGAGATCGGACCATTCCTTCGGGAACCTCCCTCACAAAGGCTCAAAGTTTTGAATAACCAAAACGATTATAAAATTGTGGTTCTCCTCATATTTTGCACATCCCATTATATCTACTAACACAAGATATGCTGTGAAGATAGAATATATCGGTCCACTCCTGCTGGTACTTCCCCAACAAAGAGTTAACATTTTTTTATCGGTTTTAGATGAAGTATGAAAATGGAATACTTCATTTGACTATATCTCGTATCTCACGCTCATTTTCGAATGGAGGTAAAATTTGCTCGCAATCGAGCCGATTTAACTCTTTCCGAGTATTTTGCCATGCCGTAGTTTTATTTGCATTTTCTCTTTCCACTGAAGCAAACGATAAAAAAATTGAGTTTTTAACTCCATTTTACTTTAAGAGTGAATTCTCACTCTATTTCGAACAAAAAGGAGTGGAGGGTCTTCCAGGAGTATTTCAAGGCATTGCATGCGGAATGACAAAATTAATATACCACCCATTTTACGATGTTGTTATTGTCTAAAAACCGACCCAATTTTTAATCGCACCAAGTGATGGTTGACCATATTTTTGTGAAAAAAAAAATCCTAAACTCTTCCAGGAGTGATTAACAAGTGTCTTGACTCTAGATTCCTGATTATTTTCTCATTGAGGTGGATGAATGATGGTGAGCTTTTTCTACGCTCCCAATTACTCCAGGGCTTTTTTTAACAGAAATTCTTTTACTACCCCAAACACACACACTGGCACGTGTGTGTGTTTGTGAGCTATAAAAAGCTAGTTTTCCTGTACTTCTTTTTTGTGCGTTTCTATCTATCCGTTTTTTTGCCTCGTTGTGATTTTTCTCGCTCTGCTCCTCTCTTTCTCTCTGGATGGCTGATTCCCCAGAGTAAACGAATATTTCCATTATAAAATTCGCCTTCGTGTGTGTACACCCAACACGGCGGTGTGGTGAATAACGAATGTTTACGGTAAAATATATTGCTATCTATGTGTTCGTGTGTGTGTGGAGTATTCGTTCGTTCTATGTTCCTCCTGTGTTGTGCTGTGCCGTGGCTGGTTGGCTGCTTCTTGGGCAATCGTTGCGATGATAGTCGTCGACATCGTGTCGTTCGTTGCCTAGTTCAGTAATGCGTTTTTCCAAAAGAGCAAAGATTCCATACGCACCGTTATAATTTTGTTAAATATTCGTATTGAGAAAAGTTTGCATAGGGCGGCACCTCGAAAAAAGAATTAAATTTAATTGTGTTTTATTAAATAAACAAAATTTATGGAAAAGAAAAATAATCTCTACAAAAATTTGGTAAATTTGAGTTGAGAAAAATACGAAAAAAAAAATAATATTGAAATAATTTCCCCAAAGAAATTGAATACAAAAAGAAAAATGTGAAAAAAATTTTTCCTCCATGGAAAAAAAGTGTAATAAAATAATTGTTGTACACACACAGCCATTGACGCAGAGTACGAAGTTGGAAAAAAATTGTATTAACCCAATGAGAAAAAATGAAAATGAAAATACAGAAACGAACGCAATGCATGATTCATGTTGTAGTCGTATTTTTTGGAATTTTCTTCTCAATCTGCTCGACGACGACGTCGTCGTTGTTGTTTTTGTGTTTTCATGTGTGAATACAATTATCGTGTAGTTGTGCTGAATACTCTACTTTTTTTTGTTTGTGGTGTGTGGTGCTGTATCCCCTTTTGGCCTGGCGTTTAATAACTAGACAAAAAAGCAACAACAACAACAACCACATCATTATTATAATCACCACGCATAGCATTCGGCGCGTTCCAAAAATTGTTCTCTCTCTTTACTCTAACCCCCTTAACACCACTACCCCACCACAAAAAGTACCCCCTCTCAGCTGAGCAAAATAAAAACACAAAAAAAATATTGAAACAGAAAAGATTTCCCCCAAAACAAAAGTGAACCAAAAAAAATCGAATTCAACAACAATTGCCGCCGCCTCAGCATCATTACCACCTTCAGCAACAACAAAAAAATCAACAATATTGTACAAACAAAAGAAAATTGAAAAAAAAAAAATAATATTGAAAACAACAACAACACGAAAATATCCAAAGAAAATAAATACACTTCCATTTGGAATAAACAAATTATTGGCAAAATGTACCAAAAAAAAACAATATTTTATGTGAATTGAACAAAAAAATCTCTTGTGCGCTCTCCCACTCACATTTGAAAATAAGCAGTTATTACTCTTGTCCTAAAAGGGAAACCGTTGGGGAGAGAGAGAGAGAGAGTTATACTCCCCATAATTTTCTAACGGACATTAATGTGTCAAAAATATATGCTTAGCTTTGAGAGTTGTTTCTGTGATTATCTCTGTTTCTTTTTTGCTTGTCTAATTCTCTCTGTTTAATATTATCTTCTCATTTTTTTTTTGTTGTGAAATATGGCCTTCATGAGGTGGGGAAGAAATGTTCTCTTTGAGTTTTGAAAAAATAGTGGCACTTTGTTGTGATATAAACAAAACGAAAAATCAAATGTAAGCCATGATGATAAACATGAAAATTAAAAAAAAAAAATAAAATAGAGTAATAATAAAAAAAATAAAATAGAATAATAATAAAAATATAATAATAATAGAAATAATAATAATAAAAAATAATAATAATAATAATAATAATAATAGTAATAATAATAATAATAATAATAATAATAATAATAATAATAATAATAATAATAATAATAAAATAATAACAAAAATAACAATAAGTAATAATAGAAATAATAATAATAACAATAATAATAATAAAATAATAATAATAATAATAATAATAATAATAATAATAATAACCATAATAATATTACTTAATATAATAATAATAAATCCTAATAATAATAATAATAAAATAACTAATAATAGAAATAATAATAATAATAAAAATAATAATAATAATAATAATAATAATAAAATAATAAAATAATATAATAAAATAATAATAACAATAATAATATTAATAATAATAATAATAAATAATAATAATAATAATAATAATAATAATAATAAAAATAATAATAATAAAAATAACAATAATAATAATAGAAATAATAATAATAAAATAATAATACTAAAATAATAATAATAATAATAATAATAATAATAATAATAATAATAACAATAATAATATTAATAATAATAATAATAATAATAATAATAATAATAATAATAATAAATAATAATAGAAATAATAATAATAATAAAAAAAATAATAATAAAATAATAATAATAAAATAATAATAACAAAAATAATAATAATAATAATAATACTAGTAATAATAATAATAATAAATAATAATTATAATAATAATAATAGATAATAATAATAGAAATAATAATAATAATAATAATAATAATAATAAAAAATAATAATAACAATAACAATAATAATAGAAATAATAATAATAATAATAATAATAATAATAATAATAATAATAATAATAATAAGAGGCTTTTGAAAAAAGACAGACAGTTTACGTTATAATATAACAGTTACCCTTACAAAATTCCTTAACTGTTTTATTTCATTTACCATGATCTGATTTAGGTCTGGTATGGAGTCGTTCCCTAAGAATTGGGATCTGATATTTGCAAACACTGGGCATTGGCAGAAAAAATGCTCCAAAGTTTCACCATCTTCCCACCATGCCTGGCATATGCAGTTATCTACACAATCTATCTTGTACTGATGAGGTTGTAGGCCCAGGTGGCCCCTAATGATTCTTCTAATGAGAAGATTCTTAGATTTTATCTTATTAGGGTCGCCCCATACGATTTTTGTACCCTACACCACAAGGTGGTCAGGGTACTATGTCTTTGTGCATTTGTTTGTAACTGGCAAAAGGTAACGAGATAGAACCATAGTACCTTTTGATGATCTGCATAGAATCACATTCTGAGTCGATTTGTGCCTTTCCGTCCGTCCATGTATTTTTGTAAACAAATTACAGCTAGCATTTATTGCCCGATCTATATGAAAATTTACACAAATCATTTGTTTGACCCAAGGATGGACCCTATTGAATTGATTGGTGATGATCGGCCAAAATTTAGATATTGCTCCCATTTATATCTTCAGCCGATTTGCTTTTATTGTGCACCAAACGTGTAATATCAACCCAAATAGTTCGGAATTTTGCATATGCGACCAAATTAAGCCTGGAAATAAGTATGCCAAATTTGATCGAAATCGGTTCAGATATCAGCTATAGCTCCCATATGTATTGTTCAACCTATTTGATATTTTTGTCCTCCGCAGGCGTAATATGCACTCTATAACAACGATATATCGGAAAATATATCAAATACAGCACAGAAATACCTTTCCCAAATTTTATCGAGATTGGTTCAGATTTGGATATAGCTCGAACAAATATCTTCATCCGATTTGCCTTTTATTGTGCACCAAACGTTTAATATCAGCCCAAATAGTTCGGAATTTTGCATACATGACCAATTTAAGCCTAGAAATAAGTATGTCAAATAGGTATAGCTCCCACATATATTGTTCATACGATTTGTTATATTTTTTATTTGTTATATGAAGCTCTACTAAATATTAAAAGGGATGGAGGGTATCATAAAGTCGACCCAGTCCGACTTTTAGACTTACGTTTTTGGACACAACTTTAACTCTAGACGTGACGCATTTAGCGCTATTGGATTGTCCTGTTATATAATGCGTACTGAGCCGAGTTGGAAATAGTTGTTGATTGAATTTATACATTCCAATACGGGTTTTGAATTCACTGTTTTGGATGTTATAGCTTTTATAGCGATTTTACTGTCTGCTAGGATGTTTACGGTGGTCGGCCTCGTGTTGGCATTAAGCCAGTTCAGAAACTCTGCAATCGCTCGGACCTCCGCTTGAAGGATCGTAATATAATCGGGCAAACGGCAAGTAAACTAGCTCTTCCACATTAAAAGTACAAAAAATGCCAGAAAATGTATATTTCTAAAGGGGCCCGAGTGCAAGAACACGATCTTTCTGTAACTCCCTGTCCATGTAAATTTCATTTGCATATTGCCTCCTGGGAGTCACGAGGAAATTTGTCGTCAATATAGGCATGTTTGACCATCTGTCTGGCTGAAGTTCTCGATAGATCTTTAAGATAGTACCCGATTCCGCCCAAAATTTGGACATCGTATTTTTTAACAACCTTACTCCTCGGCCCTGGAATTTCGAAATATAAAGCGTTGAGTATTTAAACCTCGAGCATCTTAATATTGGTCTAACAAAGTAGAAAATATTGTCTTATACCTTTGGGTACACAAAAGCTCAACATTTTCAATAATTCAATGTGGATTGAAATTTAAAATAACTCAGAAATGTCTCTGAATGCTATCTCCACATTGGCCAATCTCCTTATTGGCAGCCTTTCCCTCATTGTACTTCCCACAAAATGATAAAACTTTGGAAAAAAACTCCGATTTAATTCTTTATAATTCAACGGCATTCAGCTGATACTTTTAAAATTATTGACAGGAACATACAGGGTTGCCCATATTCGACGGACCTTTGGGCCCTTTGGGCCCATTCCAATCGACGAGGCTTGTCCGCAGGCAATATTCTTTGCGTCAACTGAATTTTGTACGGGAACAAATACAAATCAATACGAATAATCCATTGTAAAGTGGACCTAGCCATGCCCAACTGCTGAGAACGGCGTTTTTGGGATGTTCTTGGGGACCTCTCAACACTGGCTCGTACGGCAGCAATATTCTCGGCCGATCGCCTTGGTCGACTTTTATATGGCCTCTTCGGATTAGAAAGAGCCTTACCAGTCGAAAATTTTTCGTATAAACGCTTAATGGTGTTCTTTGAAGGCGCACTTCTCACATTTTTTAATGTTTTAAAAACACGTTGAGCTTTCACAATTGACTTGAATGTAAATTTCAACTATTTCAGAGCGCTCGCGTGGCGTGTATTGGTTCATGGTAAAAATCTGCTTGGACTGACGCTTCAAACGCGGTATGTCATTAAGCGATGTGACATCTCTGTCAAAAGTTATGGCGTTGCCAGATGGGTCCGTCGAATATGGGCAACCCTGTAGGTCGAGTGAGAAAGCTAAAATTTTACACACATGAGTATTTTACCAGTAGGCAGGATAAGTTCCTAAATGTAGGTTCATGTAGGTCCACGTTTTCGTATAGCCCCCATTTAACGATACCTCTCAATATTCGGTATTTTGATAATTTTACCGATATTTTTTACCGGAATTATTTCAAATTTCGTATTTCAAGTTCTTAATAGTTCCACAGCCAATGACAAAAAATCGCATATGCAGGTCCACGTCTTCGCATATAACGATACCTACCCCCCGATGTTCGGTGTTTTGATGATTTTAGTAACGTTATTAACCGGAATTGCTTCCATTTTCGTGGTTGAAGTTCGTAATGAGTACTACAATATGCAGGTCCACGTCTTCGTATAGATACCTCCCATTATTCGGTATTTTGGTGATTTTAGGGACATATTTTTTTGGGATTTTGTATTTAATGTTCGTAATGAATGCTCCAACCTATAACAAAAAAATTTTAGCGGTATTATTCACCAGAATAGATCCGAATTTCGTAATTGAAGTTCGTAATGGATACTTCGTTTTGTATGCAATTATCTTGAAATTTTTGCACTTCCTTCAAAATTGTGGAGGGTATTAAAAGTTCGGCCAGGTGTTTTTTTTTCTCGAAATATTTATCGGAGAACCCATAAATTGTATATATTAATTATGAGCGATTAATTTTCTTTTGATTGGAAAAAATTGATACAACAAAATGGACTTTGAATTCCATAGTTTTCTGTAGAAAAACCTCTAAAGGCCTTCCAATTTTCTTTTGATCATATAACAGAAAGATATTTTGCATAGAAGCAAATTATTTCATAGTTCTGCATTTGAGCATCACGTTTTATGAACGAAGGCTTAATTCAAATAAAAGTGGGAGAGTTATGTTTTAATGTGATTTTTTTTCAAATTTTCGATTTAGAATAAATATTTGAAAAATAGATATATAAACAAATAAAAAGAAACAACAAAATATATTGAGAATTCAAAATATACAATTAATCTCCTAACCAAAAAAAGAAGGAAAAAATCTAAGTTCTGTCGATAAATAAAAAAATAAATATTTCAAAAATATTTGTGAAAAACTCTACCCAAAAAGAAACATCTGTTCCCAACTCCGCTGAGACGCTGAGAGTTCGTGTGTAATAAATGATTTTTAATTGAGCATTGGAATTGTGGTTACATCGAAGCAAAATAGACCAACAAAATATAACAACAACAACACCCCTCCTTCTGACCCAAACCAACCGCCGGGCCATTGCATGTCAGAAATCCTAATCAGTTGCCAGTTTTTTTGTTGTTGGTGATTTCAATTGTCGTCGCCTTACTTCATTAACGAACATCAAACGTTGAATCCTTGAACAACAGCAACAGCAACGTTGTTGTCCTCCTCGTCGACTAGGACGTCGTCGTCGTAGTCAGATCCGTCAACTACGCTTTTTGGTTTCGTTTTCTCGCCTGGCTACAGTATTCGGCCAATTGTGGCCGATATTAAACGACCTTCAAAACGTTTTGTGTCGAAGCAATCCGCACCATGGGCTGCGCACAGAGTGCTGAGGAAAGGGCAGCAGCCGCCAGGAGTCGTCTGATTGAACGCAATCTGAAAGAAGATGGGATACAGGCAGCAAAGGATATTAAACTTTTGTTATTGGGTGAGTAATGCAACAGTAAGGGAGAGAGAGAGAGAGATTGATAAAGAGAAAGCAAGAGTTATTCTCATACTATCTACCACATATCACCAAATAAATAACTCTTTAAATGGCATTTTATTTGGAGTACTGTCCAGGGAGAGTTGAGTTTCTCTCACTCTCTTTTAGTTGGTGTAATATTCTCTTTATTGAGCTAAAAACAGCATTTCCCAGTTTATTAAAGAGCAAACGAATTGAGGCCAGCCATTTGTTGGGATGCTGTTCGAACAAGTGATTTCCATACTCCCCACCAATTCCTCCCCTCCCCTCTGCAATTTTGTTAAAAAGTCTTAGACATTGATAATGACTTTGCCTTTCGGATTTGTTTTTTTTTTTCTTTTTGTTTTTCTTTGCCTTGTTTTTTTTTTCTTCGTTTGTTGGCATCCCAAAGAATTATCCTTTGGTTTCTTACAGTCTGCCTGTTTTTGATGTCAAGTAAAATTAGAAGAAGAAAAAGAAATAGTTTTTCTTTTGGTTTTCATTTTCCTTAATTCCTTTTGGTCTGACTTGTGGTTCAAACTGTCGAAGAAGTTTTTTTCTGGTTGTTGTGGTTGTTCTTGCAAGAAATTAAAGGGGGGCGAAGAGTGTCTTATTTCAATTGCTATTCGTTTTTTTTTTCATTTTCTCTTTGTAATCAAAGCAAAGGTTATTTTTTAATGTGAAATTTTTCTTGAAATGTTTTTGACATGTTTGACAGGTGGTTTTTTTAATTTGCTGTTAATATCCTTCTCTGACAGGTCATGAAAGGTTTATTTAGTTAAGAGTTGACATTTAACTCTAAAATATATTTTTTCTATTTTGCGGAAATTTCTCAGAATTTCTCGATTCAATTGAGAAACTTTAAGAGGTCTATCAGAGGTATCAAAAAAAAAAAAAAAATAAGTATAGATAGAAGTCATTCATAATTAATTCTATACCAAAATACTTTTTTGAGGAAGCTCTAAAAGCAGTTCCACTTGGAAATGTCCTTAATTTTTTTTATTTTGTGTTACCGAATACCTTTATGGCTAGTTTACACATTATGTTAGAGTCTTACGTAAAATCACCAATTCTTATTTATATATTTAGTATTTGTAAAGCATACTTTTAGGCCATTTATAAATATATTAATTATACCCTCCACCTTGAAAAGAAAGGAATATAAACATTGTCATTCTGTTTGTTGCATTCGTCGTAGACCCCATAAAGTTTCTGTCAGTCTGTCTGTTGAAATCACGATACAGCCCATATTATTTAACGTAAAGCTTCAAAATTTGCCCGACAATGTGTAATATGTCTAGTGTGATTAGTATTAAAATTCAGATGTATAGGTCCACGTTTTTACCGCCATATACCTACCACCAATATCAATTTCGATTTTCGACAAAAGATTTTTATTCTTTTTTTTAGTATTCAACGATTAACGTTTTTAATTGTTTATGTTATAATCTGTTGATAATACCCTTCAAAACATCAAAAAATCGATCCTATCAACATCACATGCGAAAATCTAAAATCGATTTTTCGTAGACAAGCCAAAATCGAGATTACTTTTTGTTTGTAGACAAAGGTCTCAATATCGATTTTTACTGTCGACTGCATATTTTTAATTCGAAGGATTTAACGAAACAGAAGTCTTTAAAAAAATTGCAAAAATTAAATTTTCAAAATCGTTTCATGGGACTCTTGTAGGACCAACTTTAGGTTTGTCTTTTTTTGTTTTTGACAAAAAAGTCTAAAAGTCGACACTCTCCAAATGCAAAGGCATTCTGAGCTAGAAAAGGCCTCCAAAGTATCCATAAGACAATTTTATTTTCCTTAGAGTTCTTTAGAATTTTCTAGTCTTACATTTAAAAGGCTTTCCTCAAAACATGTAAGCTATAGTAAATACTCAGAATCGGTCCCATCAAACGAAAACGCTTATCCCACTACTTCGATGGGTCGAAATGTCAAACTTTTTGGTGAAATCAGAAGAGATGCAAAAATTAAATATGTATGCGCCGGCGTATGATTAATGCTCTGTATGAGATTATTGAACGAAAGATCATACGCCCTGATGGCATGACATTTAATAATACTTATACGCCCAAGTGTCCCAATAATTAAACCAGTAAAGAAAGTCCTAAAGTCGGGCGGGGCCGACTTTATGATACCCTACACCACTTTGCTAATTTAGTAGAGTTCCACCTAACAATTAAAAGTTTTTATGGGAGAATTTAATCATACACGCTATGATTATAATTGTAATTTAAAGTTGAAAGAACTAAATATGCCGAAGCATTTGTATCTTTTAAATTCGGACTTGTATTGCCCATTTGGTGCACAATTAATTTGAAATCAGATAAAGAAGATATATGGGAGCTATATCCAAATCGGAACCGATCTCAATAAAATTTGGCAAAGATATTTCTGAGCTGTATTTGATATATTTTCCTGAATATCGTTGTTACGGAGTGCATATTACGGCTGTGGGTAACAAATACAACAAATCGGATGAACAATATATATGGGAGCTTTAGCTATATTTGAACTGATCACCAAATTTGGCATGCTAGCTTTTCGACTCAGTTCGGTCGCATGTGCCAAATTCCATCCCATTTGGGCAAATATTAGACGTTTGGTGTACAATAAAAGGTAAATCGGACGAAGTTATATATGCGAATATATCCAAATCTGAACCGATCTCGATAAAATTTAGCAAAGGTATTTCTCAGCTGCATTTGATATATTTCCCCAAAATTTTTGTTACAGAGTGCATATTACGGCTGCGGAGGACAAAAATAACAAATCGGATGAACAATATATATGGGAGCTATAGCTGCATCTGAACCGATTTCGATAAAATTTGGCATACTTATTTTCAGGTCGAATTTAGTTGTCTGTGCAAAACTCCATACTATTCGGACTGATATTACACGTTTGGCGCACAATAAAAGTCAAATCGGACGAAGATATATATGGGAGTTATATCTAATTTTTTACCGATTATCTCCAATTTCAATAGGGTTCGTCCTTGGGGACGAACCACTATGTGGTGTAGGGTATAAAAAACCTTTTTAAATATTCATAATACTCATTTTCTGATAGTTATTTCAAAATATTCTCTAAAAATCTACTATTGGAGCTCTGGAGCTAATATTCAGGAATCCACTATTTTTGCTCAGATGGTCCCTAAAAATGTACAATTGCTTCTCTGATAGTTTTTGAAAAAATATTCTTTAAAACTCTGTTCTTGTAATGTTCCAAATCTGGTTATAAAATCAATTTTCGAAGTGACACATCTGTGGGCTCCCACAAATCAAAATTTCAACATTATAGCAAGTGTGTATTTTTGCTGTCGCACAGTGTTATTCTTGACAAATACTCTTTAAAAATCCACATTCTTAGAGGGGATATTCCTGGGAAATATTTTTAAAAAATATTACTCCATTGGACTTTAGAAATATATATTCTTCAAAGAAATCAGGAATTTAGTCCTAGTCCATAAAAACATTTTACGAAAATCCGAGATTATAACTCTGATGGTCTTTTAAAAAAATAGTTGCATAATTGTATCTCTGGTAATCCTAGATAAATACTATTAACTTTTTGTAGTCCTGATATTTCAAAATTCGAGATTATAGCTTCCATGGCCTTTGAAGAATATTTGTTAAAAAAACTAAAGCTGCTTAAACTAAGCTGTCTGATAAAGTAGCTTTTGAAAAAATCCTCGATAATTCTGGAATCCCTGATAATTCTAGAAAAATATTCTTTAAAAATCGTATTGTTTTTGGGATTTGTTTCGATTTTTTTTATTAGTCAAAAATATTTTTTTGTAGGATTCTGAAATTTTGGGATATTTACCCAAAGACAAATTGTTTGGAACACCTTACAAATGAGAGTATGATTGGTTTTTGTTTTACTCCCATAAATCATACGCCCCCATAAACATATACAATTAATAATACTCATACGCCATCATGTACCCCCTTATTCTTTTCCTTAGCTGTTTGATCTTGAAAATTAAATTAAATCTTAAAAATTTTGAATATTTCAAAATCAAACTATTCTAATACGCCTTGTGATTCATGTAATTTAACACATTTCCCCTTATTTATTTATTTATTTATTGGCAACAACTTATTTTGGATTTCTTTGCCATTTTGTATTTATCACCACTCCCCCCCCCCCCCCCCCCCCCTCAAAAAAAAAAAAAATAAATAAAATCCCAGAAAAATTGATGTCTGGAAATTCATTTATATTTTATTTCTTTGTAAAGAGTGCTGGGGATAATTTGTTTATAATAATTTCCCTCAACTACAGAAAAATTGAAAAAAAAAAAATCCAACTGGAAAAGTGGCAATGGTTTCCATCAATAGTGTTATGTGTAGTTGTTGTTGTTTTCTCGGCAAGCCAATCAAGTCTGAAGATAATGAGATTCTTATTACGTTGTAGTTTTGCCCCGGTTGTTTTGAATGTCTACAGGGTGTCTTTTTTTCTGTCCCCATCCCCCACTTCCTTGCCTTTCTTGGCTTTGGAATGTAATTTCCCATTCACCCACACAGAACTCCGCCAAGGCCTAACTAAGTGACTGACTGGCTGGCTGGCTGCCTGACTAACTGACTTGCCTGTACAAACTAACTTGTCTGCCTTGGACATATAAGACGTCAGTCAATTCCGGCCAAAAAGAAAACGAAAATATTCAATTTATTTTGTTTTGTTTTCACAAGCCTCCTCGTTGAGGCAGGAGGGAGGAAAGAAAATTTGATAGGTCTCCTTAAGGCTATAGCAAGAAAAATATAAGAAGTGGTTTGTAGGATAATAAAGAGGAGCGAGAGGAGAATGAGGGTGGTGGGAGGTGGATTTCCAACCAAGAGCTTTTATTGTTCTTAGTCAATTATTTATAAGTAGGTCGGTGGTGGTGGTCTGTTGTATACAGAGACACACATGCAAACACTCTTGTGTCTAACCACCACACTTATTTGGCTCTCATCCGCCATCATCGT